TCTTCCATCCACTTGACTCAATGGCATCCACTTTGCGTCCAGTGGTCTCCATGGGATCCATCTTCCATCCACTTGATTCAATGGCATCCACTTTGCGTCCAGTGGTCTCCATGGCATCCATCTTCCATCCACTTGATTCAATGGCATCCATTTGCGTCCAGTGGTCTCCTGGCATCCATCTTCCATCCACTTGATTCAATGGCATCCACTTTGCGTCAGTGGTCTCCATGGCATCCATCTTCCATCCACTTGACTCAATGGCATCCAATCCATGGCCATCCACGGGCATCCACTTTGCGTCCAGTGGTCTCCATGGCATCCATCTTCCATCCACTTGATTCAATGGCATCCACTTTGCGCGTCCATTGGTCTCCGTGGCATCCATCTTCCATCCACTTGATTCAATGGCATCCACTTTGCGTCCAGTGGTCTCCATGGCATCCATCTTCCATCCACTTGATTCAATGGCATCCACTTTGCGTCCATTGGTCTCCGTGGCATCCATCTTCCATCCACTTGATCAATGGCATCCACTTTGCGTCCAGTGGTCTCCATGGCATCCATCTTCCATCCACTTGACTCAATGCATCCACTTTGCGTCAATGGCATCCACTTCTGGCATCCACTTTGCGTCCGTGGTCTCCATGGCATCCATCTTCCATCCACTTGACTCAATGCATCCACTTTGCGTCCAGTGGTCTCCATGGCATCCATCTTCCATCCACTTGATTCAATGGCATCCACTTTGCGTCCAGTGGTCTCCATGGCATCCATCTTCCATCCACTTGATTCAATGGCATCCACTTTGCGTCCATGGCATCCATCTTCCATCCACTTGATTCAATGGCATCCACTTTGCGTCCAGCGTCTCCATGGCATCCATCTTCCATCCACTTGACTCAATGGCATCCACTTTGCGTCCAGTGGTCTCCATGGGATCCATCTTACATCCACTTGACTCAATGGCATCCACTTTGCGTCCAGTGGTCTCCATGGCATCCATCTTCCCTCCACTTGACTCAATGGCATCCACTTTGCGTCCATTGGTCTCCATGGCATCCATCTTCCATCCACTTGACTCAATGGCATCCACTTTGCGTCCAGTGGTCTCCATGGCATCCATCTTCCATCCACTTGACTCAATGGCATCCATCTTGCATCCACTTTTTTCATCTTGGCATTATGGGTCCCCTTTAACTCTCATGGCATCCACTTTTCGTCCACTGTGAGACCATGACACCCACATAGCGAAATCTTAAGAGTAAATCATCATCCACTGCTTTAAGAATTCCACCTCAAACTGTATGAAAAAAAAGAATAATCATTAATTATTAATAAATTATTAATTATTAATAATGATTAATTTTTATTAATAATAAAATCATTAATTTTCTGCCAACGTCGTTCAAAGATCCAAAATTCTTTCATTAACTTCATTCTTTCTTTATTTGTTTCGTTGGAGAATTTATGAATGGCGTTCACAGACCGGAAACTTCATCTTTCCTTCATCTCTTTCGCTGTAGAATTTATGAATGACGTCGTTCAGATATCTGCCACGTCATCATTCACGTATTTCTCTCATTTCTTTCGTCGAATCTTTGTATGAGAATTGACGAGCTGTCTGTTCATTGTAAGATATCCAATGGGTGTTTCGATGGACGTATACATTTAGAAATGCTTTCTCTTCTCTCTCTCTCTCTCTCTCTCTCTCTCTCTCTCTCTCTCTCTCTCTCTCTCTCTCCTCTCTCTCTCTCTCTCTCTCTCTCTCTCTCTCTCTCTCTCTCTCTCCTCTCTCTCTTCCCCCCACTCTCCTCTCTCTCTCTCTCTCTCTCTCTTCTCTCTCTCTCTCTCTCTCTCTCTCTCTCTCTCTCTCTCTCTCTCTCTCTCTCTCTCTCTCTCTCTCCTATCCCCCCACTCTACTCTCTCTCTCTATCTCTATCTCTCTCTCTCTCTCTTCATCTCTCTCTCTCTCTCTCTCTCTCTCTCTCTCTCTCTCTACTCTCTCTTTCTCTCTCTCTTCTCTCCCTATCCCCCACTCTCTCTTCTCTCTCCATCCCCCCCTCTCTCTCTATCTATCTATCATCTATCTCTATCTCTCTATCTCTATCTATCTCCCTTCTTTTTTGAGGATTTCCCTTTGTTAGACACATGTATTATGGTTCGTTCTCTGTCAGCGTCAATACATTTAAACGATTACTGTCTTCGTTAATTTTTTTTTTCTATTCTTTTTTATTCTACGTGTTAAGTGTTTGTGTGCATTTCCATGGTTCCACGTTTACCCGCATACATATATAATTCAGAACAGTTCTTCAAAAATAACATCTATACAAGTGTACTTCTTAGATTGAATAATGCATTGTTTACCGCATTTACGTATGAGACAAATCTTAGTAAAGTACATTATACACATCGTAAAGTTGTGATTGTGTTAATATTTCTGGAAATATTCAGGGGATCCATAGCTTTCATAAGATTCTTAAAGATTTCAGTGACTCTAAAATGAACCACTGAGTCAGGAGATTCTAATTATATGCCACGAAACCTTTGATACGAAAGACTAGAAGGAAAAGAGATAAAGACCGAGACGTAGTAGAGTAAGAGGTAAAACGAAAAGACGAAATGNCTCTCTCTCTCTCTCTCCTCTCTCCTCTCTTTTTTTCCCCTCTCCTCTCTTCTCTCTCCTCTCCCCCTCTCCCTCCTCCCCCCCCCGCCCCTTTCCTCTCTCTCTCTCTCCTCTCTCTCTCTCTCTCTCTCTCCTCTCTTCTTCTCTCTCTCTCTCTCTCTCCTCTCTCTCTCTCTCTCTCTCTCCTCTCTCTCTCTTCTCCCCTCTCCTCTCTCTCTCACCCTCATCTCCCTCTCTCCTCCTCTCTTCCCTCTCCTCTCATCTCTCTCTCTCTCTCTCCTCTCTCTCTCTCTCTCTCTCCTCTCTCTCTCTCTCTCTCTCTCTCTCTCTCTCTCTCTACTCTCTCTCTCATCTCTCTCCTCTCTCCCACTCCCCTCTCTCTCTCTTCTCTCTCTCTCTCCTCTCTCTCTCTCTCTCTCTCTCTCTCTCTCTCTCTCTCTCTCTCTCTCTCTCTCTCTCTCTCTCTCTCTCTCTCTCCTCTTCTCTCTCTCTCTCTCTCCCCCCTCCCCCCCCCCCCCCCTTCTCTCTCTCTCTCTCTCTCTCTCTCTCTCTCTCTCTCTCTCTCTCTCTCTCTCTCTCTCTCTCTCTCTCTCTCTCTCTCTCTCTCTCTCTCCTCTCTCCCTCTCCCTCTCTCCCTCTCCCTCTCCCTGCATGCAGAGACATAAACAAAGCTTCGGATTGTGCTCCTCTATTTTCTAATGTTCCCAGACACCTGCTGCTGTTAAAAATACCGTAAATGTCTGCTGCATCCCTGAAGAATGTTTGGTAAACAGTAGTTTTTGACTTAACCTGTAAAAGTAGGGGGGGAAATAAGATTCCGTGTCCAGGCCCCTCTGATTGGTTTTGCCTGTCATTGCGCATGTGTAGTATAGGCCGTGACGTATTGTTGACACCATGTGCTGCTCCTGTGCCCTAGTCAAGGCATAGTTATTACGGTTTATATAGGACCAGTTTCCTATGCTGACCTAGATGCTGATCCAGCACTGGGCGAAGAGGAGATGCGTGAGGAAGACTGGCCTCAGGCTGGGGGGTCAGACATGAGGCCGATTTCCACGCCCCGACCCCACATCTCTAGTAAGCAGCCAATTGACTCCACCTTGGAAACTTATAGTAAGTCCTTGTCGCCCGCTGCCAAAACAACCAGACATAAAGGTTCTTTGACTCCTCTGACAATCATCGTTTGCCTCTGCCATGTCATAACATATTGCATAGGCCTACCACTGTGTGTAATCAGCCTTTCCCAATATTTGCGTCGCAAGCAGAGTATGGCAAACTTTTATTCAGAGATAACCCTGACATAGATATAATGCTTCGATGGCTGGCTTAGGTAAACCGAGCATTCAGTCTGGATCACAATTTTGCCAAGGTCAAGATGTCAGCAGTGACATCTCATTTTGTTTACGTATCTAGAAACCTTCTGGATATGATAAACTGTATGACACAAGGAGAATTTTTGGCTTTGCAGCTTAATAAGCAAGTTTCCCTTTAGAGGCCTCACAAATATTCCACCTTTCTCCTCTCCGGTTAGTGTCGATCCCTCCAAGGATAAAGAATTACCTGGTGTTTATTCTTCTCTACGGTCTACCCATTAATCGACTTGTTATTACCTGGACTCTCCCTGAGGCACCACCACCAACCGTTACCTTCAGTTTCCTTCCATTCCTTCCATCATGCGAATTACGCAAAATGCACGATGAGCAACCTTGTTGTTACAAATGTTGGGGCCATGGGCACATTTCCCGATACTGCACTCCATATGAGAAGTGTGCCTGGTGCTCAAGTGCACATGACATTCATTGTACCCCTCTCTCTGCTGCAACATCAACATCGACATGTCAAGACCCACCACCCAAGACCGATGCAAAATGGAAATATCCTTGATGTCACCTGCCAGGAGGGAACATATGGCACGGATGCACCAGACGCTCAACCATCCACTGCAATCCTGCCTCTGCAGCCTCACATATGCCAACACATGTATCATTGCCTGCTCCTGCACCACCCTGCCCTACAGATTCTATCCCAGGTCCCACACAGGTGTCTGCACTACAAAAAGCAGTTGACTCACAAGCTAGTGTTCAAAGCCTTCCTTCATATGTACAAGAGGTGCTCTCCTCTCAGGAACCTCGCTGTGCTCTACGCCTGTCAGCAGCCCTGCTAAAGATAGATGAGGAGGAAGACATTCCAATAAAGGATGAGCTTCACCGTGCTCCTGCTAGGGGTTAAGGAACAGCTTATGATGATGACGGCATCGCATGCTCTGTCTTACGCCACCTCCTGAAAGTCCCTGGTGATACCCTTCTACAACTTTACAACTTCTGCCTCAGAAATGGATATGTGCCACAAGACTGGACAAAGAGCCTAACTGAATCGCCCTATGTATCGCCTTGAGGATAAACTCTCATCCAGATTATATGGATTCTTGCCACAGCACAGCACACACCACTGTCTATTGGAGCTATACACCCGCCTCTCCTCTACAAGTCTTGTGGCGTTCTTGGACCTGAAAAGTGCCTTTGACATTGCAAATCCAGATGTGATCCTGAACCAGCTTATGGACTTTGGTGTTAGTGGAAACCTATTGCGATGGATACAAGGATACCTAAGTAATAGATCATCCTATGTCCTCTTTAAAGGTGCCTGCAGCAAACCCAAGTACTTTGGTCTTGGGACTCCACTGGGGGGAGTCCTTAGTCCATTTCTTTTCAATATCCTTATACCCCTCCTCATCTCCAAGCTCCCTGACATCCCAGGGACAACAATTACATGCTATGCTGACGACATCTGTGTTCACTCCAACTCCCCGGAAGATTTGCAGCCTTTGATACATTCATTTTACTTGTCGTCCTCTTCATTTGGCCTTATCATCTCTCCTGAAAGAAGCAGGATCTTCATTCCACAAAACCCACAAACACTGCCTGAATTTTCACTGGGCCCGAGCATTATACCATTCTGCACACAGTATATTTATTTGGGCTCTCCAGTTTGAGGCCTTCCCACCACCCCAGCACGTCACCCCCAGCACGTCAGTGCGTTCATCCCATTGTTCAGGAATTGTTAACATGTTTGCATCAGCGCCTTGAACCTGGTTATCCAACAATACTGTTGAGGTCTCCAT